GGGGATCAAACTGAGGACCTTGTGCTTTCAAGGCAGGCGGTAGAACCACTGAGCTAAATCCCCAGCCCTGGGCTCAACCTTTTGACCCTCCTGCCTCAGCCTCCCAGAGTGCTGGGATGACAGGCGTGCCCCACCATGCCTGGCTCATCACCTGTCTCGTTGAGCTGGACCTCATCAGGCCTGCAGTTTCGTGGACCTCAGTGTCTTCATACCCCGCCGCCGACCTCCAGAAATCTGCAACCACCCTAGAGCGGTGCCACGACATCGCAGCCCCATCCTGGTCCCTGCCTCAGACCTCGGTCTCCGGCCTTGCTGCTTCTGGACACTGCGTGAGGATGAGCTTGGGCGTGGCCAGACTTCCACTCCTGCCTGTGACCGCATGACGTCTCACAGGGTGGGGGGTCCCTGGTCCATTTCTTATGACGCGCAAGGGGCGGCTCCCACCTGTGTACCCCGGCCTTCCCACACCCGTGGGCCTGTCCGCTCTACTCTTGGGTCCCCAGGACTGGGACTGCTGGTCCTGCGGTAACTGTGCTCACCTTTTACGGAGCGGCCAGGCTGTCCCCGTGCTGGCCGTGCTGGGTCGCAGCCTCGCCAGCAGTATGCCAGGGCCATTTCTCTGAAGCCTGGCTGATGCCTTCTGCTGTTGCTTCTTGGTTCTGGCTGCCTGTAGGTGTGAACACAGTGGTGTTCTGTGGTGGCTTTGACTGCAGGCCCCTGGCGGCTCATGGGGCGCTCCCCGGCCACTTCTTGCCTGCTCTGGAGGAATGCGTGCGTGTTGGTCATCAGTGAGTATTTTATGCCAGTGTGTGTTTGCTATGTTCTTGTCACAACCTGAGCTCCTGGGGGGCCAGATGTGGCCTGGCCCCATGATGTCCTGGGCAGGAAGGGGTTCTGGGCCACGGGCATGTGGGTACTGAGGGATGGGGGTCCCGAGGGCTGGTCCACACTGCACCCTCTGCCCTTGGCCTGTCTTGGAGGCTCAGGGGACAGGTTGTTGGGAGACGGGCATAGCTCCTTTTTAGGATGGGCTGCTGCAGAGGTGCCCTGACCTCCTGATGTACTGCTGCCACCCAGCTTGGGCAGCCTCTGGGGCAGCAGGCACCACCCTGTCCACCAGCACTGTGCTCCCTCGGCCTGGGGCCTCCCCTGCCCTGCCCTGGGAGTAGGTTGGGGGACAGTGCAGTGCAAGCAGCTCTCTGTCCCATCTGGACTCAAGGGACGGATGATGGGGTGTGTACAGTGGGGTGAACAGAGTCCCCCAAAACCACTGTCAGCAGGGGGGCCTCCCTCAGACACGGCCTTTGCAGTGTTAAGGAGCAGCACGCTGGAGTCAGGTGGCCCCAGTGTAGCAGCCAGCTCCTGGGTCCTGGGACTTCAGAGGGAGCTGCAGGGCCGTGCCGGGCCCCCTCCTTGGGAGACAGTGGCCCGTGGTCACCTCTGCAGTGGGAGGAACAACCCTCTGACCTCTACTTCCTTGCCTGGAAGTCCCTGGGATCAAGCGTGGTCCCCAGCAGGTGTCAGCCCCCTCATTCCGGCCTCTTCCTCGCCACCCTGGCCAGCTTCCACACCCTCACCCGCCCTCTAGACAGACCACAAATGTGCCAGGCCTTCCTCCTTGCACAGGCCCCTCCCTCTGCCTGGACGATGCCCTTCTTCCTGAGCACAGCATGCTCCTGTGCCTCACTGAAGACTCCGTTCAGAGGATTCCTCCGAAATCCTCCCTAACTCCCGGTTGGCCGCTTCCTTTTTGAGATCCTGGAGCTCTTTGTTTCCCCTCTGTGTTGGTATTGTTTTGAGGTGCAGTTTTTATTTCCTTCTTGTGGTTGATTTACTTCAAGGTCAGCCTCCTTCTCTACCCAGCAGGCCTGGGAGGGAGGCAGGGGAGAGGAGAGCTTTCTAACAACCAGCTTGCCTGCCAGGTCAGGTGCTGTGGCTGCAAGGTCAGGCTGGCCTGGCTTTGTGTGATCCGGTGTGGGCCTACACCTCCTGAGCCTCAGTTTCCCAGATTGTGCCAGGCAGTAGGTTTCGTGGTGGGACAGCACCCTGTGGCACAGTGCCCCGTGGGCCCAGCCCTCCCCTAGCACTAGGTGATGCCCTGCCTTCTCCTCTCAGAAGGCCACCATCTTGTGGGGGGAGACACTGTGTCCCTATCCCCAGGAGGCAGGGTGGGTGGTTTCTGTGTCCCCAGCCGAGGGAGGTCCAGCAAGGTCAGGATGAGGTCTGTGTGCCATCTGTGTGTCTGTCTCCTCTCCCGCTGTGCCATTCTCTCCCTGCCTGCCTGTCTCCCCTTCTCCCGTCCCTTTCCTGGTCCCCTCTCTCTGTCCATGTCCTTGGCCCACGCCTCTCCCCTCCCCTTCCTGGTCTTGGTTTCTGGAGGTCTCCTAGGAGGGCGCAGGGAGGTGAGGGGGCCCTGTCTGCTGTCCAATGGTCTCTGAGTGGCCACACAGGCCCAGAGGCCACCTGCCCCCCCTCCATGGCCGAGGCTCCCTGTCAGTGAGGGTGACGGTGACAGTGATGTACCCAGTGGGGGCCGTGACTGCCGGGATCTGGAGGAGGAATTATGTGAATAGCTGAAAAAGTCCTGTGGCCGGCAGCCTGGTGCTGCTGCTGAGACCTTGGTCCACTTCCTGACCTGGCTGTGGCACCTACAGCAACTTGGGCTCCTGCCTCTGACTGCATGGCGTGGATGAGGACCCTGAGGCCAAGACGGGACCGGGTGTGGACCGGTGAGCACACTCCCAGAGCTGCTGTGCCTGGGCTCTGGAGCAGCAGCCTCTGCCTCACCTCATGGATCTGCCCTTCCCTGGCCTGGGTACCGACAGCATTCTCAGGTATTTTTATCATCTTAACTGTTTTTGGTGTGTACTTCAGTGACACTGCAAGGATCGTTGTGACACCACCATCATCCTTGGGTTTTGGAACACTTTGTCCTGTAGAAGTGGAGCTCTGTCCCTCCCCACCTATGCCTGTAGGAAGTGCTGGGGTCAGAGGGGACGCTGGCAGGGTTCTTGGTCACATTCCCAATGCTGGGACAAATATCTAACACCCACAACTTAAAGGAGAAGTCGGCCAGGTGTGGTGGCGCACACCTGTGGTCTCAGTACTCAGGAGGCTGAGGCAGGAGGATTACTTTGAATTTGAGGCCAGGCTGGTCTGTACTACATAGTGAGACCCTTCTCAAAGAAAAAGAAAAAAGCACTTTGTTTTGGCCCATGATTACAGTCCATGGAGTCGGCTGGCTCCAAGGCAGAAACATCCTGGCAGAAGGGCCTGGCAGAGGACAGCTGCTCACAGCATGTTGGACAGAAAGCAGAGAGAGACGGAAGGGGCCAAGAGGAGGACCTTTCCAGGCCACACCCCAGTGACCGCCTCTGACCAGGCCCCTACTGCTACCACAGTGGGTCACCGCTGTGGGTCCTGCCACCTCCCTGGGACCTGGGATGGTCCCCATTTCACCAGCAGCGATACCAGGCCAATGAGTCCTCAGCATTTCATCCCGGCACCGTCTCTCATCTTGCAGATGGGTCCCTGACAGCCACCTCCTGTTTGGTAAAGTGGAACAGCTCAGTGCCGCAGCCAAGTGTTACAGCTCAGTGCCACAGCCGAATGCCACAGCTCAGCATCGCAGATACTGCAGTTTGAAAGCTTGAGAATCCAAAGGTCGCTTGAAGAGGTGGAAAAAAACCTCTATGCCACTGGCTCAGAGGAGTTTGTACTCTGAAGTCTGAGGGCTTCACCAGAAATGGAGCCTCCTTATATAGGAGAGGGGACAGAGTTACAGAACATTCCTGAAAGGCCTAGCTAGTGAGCATGCTCAGAGAGTGGCGTTAACATTCCTGAGATCAAGCAGCTGAGACAGTCACAAAACATTTTGATACATTGGGCGGGAGGCTGGTGCAGCACAAAGTTCCATTTCTGGAACAAAACATTTTGTGGAAAAAACATGGTGACCGGGCAAGGGGAAGGCGAGGGCCCGTCTCACGTAGTCCCGCTCTGTCGCTGTTACGTAGCATGTTCATGCAGGCGCACAAGTGTGTACGCGTCTGGCACATACGAATGTTACTACCTAAGCATTCGAGGCGAGTGGCCTTGGTGTGCACATGTGTCCTGAGGAGGAGTGAGGTCCCTGCCGGAAGCACTGAGGTCCTGAGTGCCCAGGCTCTGCTCCTGTCCCACGGCTTGGGGCTGGCACTGTGTCACTGCAGGGTGGCTTCCCGAGGCGCAGGTGAGCGGAGGCAGGGCTGCCCCACCTGTGAGTGATGGCCCAGGACAGAATGGTTTCCTCAGCAGCAGCCTCTGTTCCCGTAGAAGCAGCCCAGAAGTTCTGAGTTCCCCTCGCCGCCTGACTTCGTGAGACAGTTGCCTTGCAGGCCTAGTTTATATTCTGGTCGTTTGCACAGAGTCCCTGGTGTCCGCGGGGGTCTTGGGTCTTTGGGATGGGTGAGCAGGACTGCAGTCAGGCTCAGTCCTCGCCGTCTGTGTGAGGGTTTGGGGGATGCACCACCCGACTCGTGACTGGTCACTGCTTCCCTCTGTGTTGCCTCGGAGCCGGGCCGTGGCACAGACGCTCGTCCCTCCCCAACCAGGCTGTCACGTGCCTCTCCTGGGGAAATCCATCCCCCACTTAAACCTTCAGGGGCTCCAGTCACCCCAGGAGGAGGCGTCTGCTCTTCCAGAGAGTGCAGGACTCAGGCCCATGCTGCCCTTGGCTGAGCCGGAGTGCGGTCTCTGCCATCCGCCTGTGGGGCGGGCTTCTCGCTTGTCCCAGGGAGGCAACAGACGGACACAGTTGAGAATACGAGTCCGTGTTTGCTTTCCACCTATTTGTCCCCTGGGAACATCAGTGAAGGCCACAGCTGGGCCCCCCGGGGTGGGCACCTGCCATTGCCCCGGCTGAGCCCTGCTGCCCCGCGGAGCCCCTCCGGCCCAGCCCTGCAGTCCCTGCTCCTGAGCTCAGAGCCTGTGCTTCTCCACAGATGTAGCTTTGGGGGATTTTTACCGGGGTCCTGCCTTTGATGAGCTACTCTAGTGTCGTCCCCAACCCCATTTTCCCCACAAGCCCTGTGAGATTTTCCTTTGCGATTTTTTTTCCGTCCTGGGTATTGAACCCAAGGCCTTTGTACTGAGCTACATCCCCAGCACTTATTTTACTCTTTGAGACAGGGTCTCACTAAGTTACCTAGGCCAGGCTCAAACTGTAATCCTCCTGCCTCAGCC